TCCGAGATATGGGGTTCCAAAGTTCAAAAAATACCCCCACTTGTTATTAAACATATTTAAGAATACCACTCCGAAACGTTTAGTTTTTTTACAACACATAGTCCTTTTGGAGCTGATTACAACCACATAATTTTTTTTTGGGGGGAACTTCGTACTTCCGGAAATATGGAGTTCCAAAATTTTAAAAATAAGCTTATATTGTTATTTGTTTGATTTCAGGATTTTTTCCTTTAGGGACACTCGGATTTTCCACCCAATTTTCCACCTGTCCATAGGATAAAGTCTTATATCCCCGGCCGAAGGCCGGCTATATAGAAAAAATTGAAATTAAAAGAGAATTCTGCTCGCGTAGCCAAATTTTCCACCTGTCCATAGGAGAAAGTCTTAAATCCCCGGCCGAAGGCCGGCTATTTTGAAAAAAATTGAAATTAAAAGAGAATTCTGCTCGCGTAGCCCAATTTTCCACCTGTCCATAGGAGAAAGTTTTAAATCCCCGGCCGAAGGCCGGCTATTTAGAAAAAATTGAAATTAAAAGAGAATTCTGCTCGCGTAGCCCAATTTTCCACCTGTCCACAGGAGAAAGTCTTAAATCCCCGGCCGAAGGCCGGCTATTTAGAAAAAAATTCTAATTAAATGAGAATTCTGCTCGCGTAGCCCAATTTTCCACCTGTCCATAGGAGAAAGTCTTAAATCCCCGGCCGAAGGCCGGCTATTTAGAAAAAAATTGAAATTATTCCGGAAGTACGAAGTTCTCCAAAAAAAAAAAATAATTAGGTTGTAATCAGCTCCAAAAGGACTATGTGTTGTAAGAAATTTAAATGTTTCGGAGTGGTATTCTTAAATATATTTAATAAAAAGTGGGGGTATTTTTTGAACTTTGGAACCCCATATCTCGGGAAGTACTGATTTCCCCCCGAAAAAATTTATGTTGCTGTAATCAGCATCAGAAGGGCTACCTATGGTAAAAATTTCAAAATTATCTGAGAGGTGTCCGTAAAGTGCATTTGTTCCATGGTACCTTACCCTATTATTGATTGGGGGAAGTCAATGCTTACCGAGATTCTGGCATCGGATTTTTGAAACCCCCATATTTTTAATGACTTATATTTCATTAAAATTCAACTATTTTGTTTGGTAAGTTTTGGATTGCTGATTAGGTCGATTATGTGGGATAAATGTATACCCCAAAAATTTCATAGCTTCAACTTCTTTAACACTTCTTTTAAATTAAAGTCATACTTCTATGAACAGATGCAACAGATTTGTCATGCTGTGAATAATATTTAAAAAAAAAAAAAAAAAAAATTCACAGTGATAGGATTTTTAGATAATTAGGAACACTTGCCCAACGTAACCTTTCACAAAACATAAAATGGTATTTTTGCAAAAAAAAAAAAAAATGATTTCTATCCCACAGTATTCACAGTATTCGTATTCCTGTTTTGAGTATGTATTTATTATTATTTTTGTGTACAAAAAATATTAAATTTATTGGCAATATCCACACAAATATTGGCAAAATTGCAGGAGACAAATTGTAGTTGCAGATTCATTTCTGTTGAATCACAAAATTAACTTTTCCATCCCTGCCAACCATACAAGTGAGTAATACTGTCAAATACGCTTATAACGAACACCGGTTATAACGAACATTTAAAGCATACTTTTGGCACAAATGTTTACTCTTAAAGCGAACTTTTTTTATAACGAACTATTTATTCGGTCCCAACATTTAGCTTTCATATACTTTAATGTGGTTATAACGAATTTGCTACAAATAGACATAATAGTGAACGATGACAATCCTCGCAAAAGTTAATTTTTACGATTACGCTGGTGACCTTTACAAAAAATGTCAGCTGCTGTAATGTGTGCTTCATCCAAGAAAAAAGAAGCAACTTAAATATTGTTAAAAAGGTCACACAACCAAACAGTTTCTAACGGAATATATATTTTTTCTGTTTAGCCTATGTTTTGTCTTACCTTGGATATAACGAACTAATTTGATTGGTCCCTATAATTGTGCTGTACTGTATTAGAAAACAACCCTTAACATAGAATTCTTACCTTGAAGAAAAACTCATAACCCATTTCCTTACTCTCCTAATCTCACGGGAACAGTTGAGATCAAATGACGGTGGCGGCGGCGACAACCGAGGAAAAACGTAAACACGAAAAACGGAAACACGAAATTAGCACTAAACTAGACAAAGGAACAAATGGTAGAAAAAACACATAGGCCAATTTAATTTCACACAACATTTTATATTGGCAAATAAGTATATTTTCTATGACTTGATTATTAAACACTTGAATCAAATGCATTTCACTTTGCCAATAACTTTGAAGGGGAAAAAACACAATTAAAACCCGAACGTAGATGGACAACTTACAAATTAAAACTACGCACAAAATAACAAGTGTTGAAAGGAACAATTTTAATAAAATTGAAACACAAAATAAATGAAAACACAAAATAATTGTAGAATTGCCTTAATCGATGCAATTAGATCAAAAATGGGATGGTGGACTTCATACACACATTTAATTTTGGGGAATATTTACTTTTTTAATCCGATTTTCAATGCTGAAAGAGTTATTTCCGATGTATGAATTATTTATTTATTCCGATGTATGAATAATGGTAAAATCTTTTGTCAATTAAAAGCGATTTTAGTTGGAATAATAATTTGGAAATAATTAAATAAGTAAGAAATGTGTCAGTCAGTTTTGTTGTCGACAGATATGTGTGTACCCTCAGCCTCTGATTGCGTAGGACTACTGATTTACAGATAGGTTTAATTATTCGGCATATATATCAGTTGACCATATTGCTGCAATACGGGAACACACCAGAATCTGCAAGAATGTACAATTTTCTTACTATAGGAGGTGATGCAAATGTGGTATACCCATTTGTTTTTAGATTGCTAAATTTTTATTTTTTATCCGATTAAATTGAAATTTTGCACTTAACATGCTACATGTGTTGTCTTTCGATGTATCAATTTGAAAATAATATTATTCTAACAATTTAAGAGGTATTTGAGAAAATATTTGAAATTCCATTAAAAGTGATTTTAAAAAAGTGTAGGTAATGTGGTATACCACATGATGTTAATGTGGTATAGTATAATTTCCACTTCCAATTGATATCTTGTATAATTTATTGTTTTTAATGAATGCGAATTAGCTCGAGATTTATGTCTGTTAAGATTTTTAACGGATACGTTGAGTGCAACTTTAATTTTTATTCTATAATAATTTCTACACATGGCAATATTTACTTTTGTATGGAGTATTTGTTAAAACTCATAGCCTTTGTTTTTCATCCTTGTGATTCATGGTAGACTCTAGTAAAGTACGAATGTTTCACATAGTAATGAGATTTTGTCTAGTGCTGGCCTTTTTTCATGCAGAATCAAGGTATACCACATTACCTACATTTGTGTTTACTGAAGAAATGTCTATTTTTTTTCTAAATTGGTGATTATGTGGTGCAATCGCGCATATTATTTGATTTTTAGTTCATACTAATTATTTTAATGCTTTAGTAATAACGATTAAATTACATCCGTAAAACAAAAAATTATTTTTAAACTTCAACCGAAAAAAAGTCAATTTCATGAAACATTTTATTTTTGGTACTGATTCTCAACGTGATTTAAATAAATTAAACAGGTTATTGCTATCTTATTTTTTTGAGAACAGCAAACTATAGAACATGTTTCAGTTATTCTAAAATTTTCAGTTTACAAAAAAAGTGACTATACCACATTACCAACCTATACCACATTTGCATCACTTCCATCCACTACAAAAACAATTTTTCCTTTATGATATCGGACAAAAGCAGTACAAATTATTAGATTCTTGCAGTACGAGAACATACCAGAAGACAACCTCTTCTTCTGGACGAAAAAAAATTAAATTTACTAATATTGATCAAGATTAAAAAAACAAATAGATGACAGATTATAGAACAGATGGGAGCGGCATATATTTTACAGATGACAGCAGGTTAAAATAGATGATGGTCCTCTATAAAGAGGATGTATGGTCCGAATAATTTGATAATAAATTGCTGGATGTTCAAATGTTTCTTCGTTATTAACGAGTTAATTGCTTTAATTGGATTAATAACTCAACGACAGTTCTATAAGTTATCCCCATCTTACCCTTAAGTCCATTAAATATTTTACGATTTGTATTCCAAGTTATTCTCCAATCCAATATGCATATTGTTGTTTCTTATATCCGGCTAACAATTTCGTTAAGAAAGAAAAAAATATCATCTAACGTCATTCTTAATTTTATCTGTGGAAACGGTCGAATCTGTTCCTATACAGCTGGGAACAAGGAAGAGACACTTCAAGGCCTACACGAGCAGAAATAAGCAAAATAGTGAGACAAACGTCACTTAATTTGAATGGGTGGCGTTTCCTCTCAACCTGGCAATGGTTTGTTCATTTCACTTGGCAATTGTCCCAGTTGAATGATCTGTACCAACATATTGTGGTATTCATTGCTGCCACCCTCCTCCAACTCTGACTAATTATATAAACAAAACAAAGTATTTTCTCTCTTCTCTCAGTGACTTGTTATCGCCCGCGAATGCGATTAGGTTGAGCGCCAATTTTAGGAGGATTGCAATCAGTATTATCAAAAGTATGCACACACCGCCACACACATGCATAGATAGGTACAAATGCATGTACTTACCGATGAATATACGCACACAAACGAGGTGGTGGTAGTGGTTTATGTTTGATAAGATTTGCATGGAATGTTTATTCGCGGTTTGATGGATGACTTTTAAATGTTCCGTTGGGTACTAGTAATTAGTACCCTTCGTGTAATGAAGATGAATAGAGCTTTTGGAGGAAGAAAATAGCTACCGATGTTCTTTATCAGCACCACCATCTTAAGATGAAAACAAAAGGTTTGATTGCGTTTCAGATGCTGCTAAGGGTCAGTCAGTGAGATTGTGGACAGGTGGCAAGATGTTTCGACGGCAGTTGTCTTTCCGCTTGGAGGATACCGATCACGATGCATATGGCCTAAGAGTGTCGTATTTCAACAAGCCATTCTGAACATTAGAATTCACGGTGATAATTGTGATTTATTTCGTTTCAGATGAATCGTCGTTATTCGCGCGTTGAGTCCGGAGCGGACCTCAAGGACTACTTTGATAGAGGCGATATTGCGTCCCGGGAAAACCGTTGGACTTTTGAGATCGCATGGGAAGTCGCTAATAAAGTTGGAGGCATTTACACTGTTATACGATCAAAAGCCTATGTGTCGACTGAAGAAATGGGGGAACAGTTGTGTCTCATGGGTCCCTACAAGGAGCAGTGTGCCCGAACCGAAATGGAAGAAATTGAATTTCCAAGAGGAAACCCCCTACTGGATGCCGTAAATAGTTTGCGCTCTCGAGGATACAAAATACACACCGGCCGTTGGCTCGTTGACGGCAACCCTCAGCTGATTCTATTCGACATTGGTTCAGGGGCTTGGAAATTGGACCAGTTTAAGTCGGAATTGTGGGACAAGTGTCATATCGGTAATGATAATAGTGGAGCGTATATTCTTAAAAATAAATTATCCCGACATATAAACCATTTTCAGGAGTACCGCACCTTGATGTTGAAAGCAATGATGCCATCATTTTGGGTTTCATGATAGCCGAGTATTTGGAAGAGGTGAGTAGATATAATACGTTCCATTGTGTTAACATATACCTAATGTTCTGGTTTCTCTGTACTTTACCAGTTCCGAAGATGCGCTTCGGAGTATTCTCAAGCAAACGATTTGCAGGTGCCTCGCATCGTAGCTCATTTCCATGAATGGCAAGCTGGTGTTGGTTTGATCGCCCTGAGAACTCGGCACGTTGAGATTGCAACAGTCTTCACTACGCATGCCACTTTGCTAGGACGTTATTTGTGTGCCGGTAACACCGATTTTTATAATAACTTAGACAAGTTTGCTGTGGACGAGGAGGCGGGCAAACGACAAATATACCACCGATACTGTTTGGAACGCGCTGCCACCCATTTGTCGCATGTTTTCACAACCGTTTCCGAGATCACAGGATACGAAGCGGAACATTTACTCAAACGTAAACCCGACATTATAACGCCCAACGGCTTAAATGTTAAGAAATTCTCAGCTATTCATGAATTCCAAAACTTGCATGCCATGGCTAAGGAAAAAATAAACGAGTTTGTGCGAGGTCACTTTTATGGGTAGGTGTGCATTGGATATCCTTGGAAGTCATGTTACCCCTTTATGTTTGTTCTAGGCACATGGATTTCGATTTGGACAAAACTTTGTACTTCTTTATTGCTGGTCGTTACGAGTTCGGAAATAAAGGTGCTGATATATTCATCGAATCGTTGGCTCGTCTGAATGCAATGCTAAAGCAGGAGAAGCCCGACACAACTGTTGTTGCGTTCCTGATTTTCCCCACCAAGACAAATAATTTCAACGTTGATTCCCTACGCGGTCATGCAGTTGTCAAACAGTTGCGAGACACCATTAATGGAGTGCAACAAGGCATTGGCAAACGACTGTTTGATTCGTGTCTCAAGGGACACATACCTGGCCCAGACGAGTTGCTCACAAAGGATGACCTTGTGAAAATTAAGAGGTGTATGTACGCCCTGCAGAGAGATTCTATGCCCCCCGTTACGACTCACAATATTGTAAGTCCCTTACACATTAGCCTATTCACTTCCTCACTTAAGTTTCACTTCTTTTAAGGTGGACGATTGGAATGATCCTGTGCTTGGGGCTATTAGACGCTGCCAACTTTTTAATACTGTGCACGATCGCGTGAAAATGGTATTTCATCCGGAGTTTTTGACTTCAACAAATCCCCTGTTTGGAATCGATTACGAAGAATTTGTTCGTGGCTGTCATTTGGGTGTATTTCCATCATACTACGAACCATGGGGTTATACTCCTGCTGAGTGTACCGTTATGGGCATACCAAGCATTACGACAAATCTTTCCGGTTTCGGATGTTTCATGGAAGAGCATATCAGTGATCCGAAGTCGTATGGTATTTATATTGTAGATCGTAGATATATCGGCTTGGAGAACACCATCCAGCAATTGGCGAGCTATATGATGGACTTTTCCAGACTTAATAGAAGGCAGAGAATTATACAACGTAATCGCACGGAGCGCTTGAGTGATTTGCTTGACTGGAGGACTCTTGGCATTGTAAGTATAAATGTATTTTGTGGTTTCTTCTCACCGACTGCTCATCACTCTCCTGCAGTATTACAGGCAATCACGTGTAAAAGCCTTGCAAGCCGTGTATCCTGACTATGTGGATGAAAGCTCGCTATACAGTTCCCGAAGCAATTTGAATTTCTCAAGGCCTTTCAGTGAACCGCCAAGCCCTTCATCGTCAAGTAAGTATTTATGTGTATGCACTACCGATATAATAATTCTGACATCACCAACTTTTTTAGGACACACAACGCCTGCACCATCGGTTCATGGCTCCGACGAAGAGGATTCTGTAGATGAAGAAACTGAACTTAAGGAATTGGGCATCAAGTAGGCCGCCACATTTCCCAAGCCGATCCGCTTCCCAAGCAACAAACGCAAACCCATGACCAGCAGACAAACTGTATTCTTCTACTTCTTCTTCTTCTTCTTAAGATTTACGACATATTGAGATGAGACGATCAATAACTAAAAGTACCTTCATTTACATACGCAAGAACCTTTTTACCTCATTCAACGAACAATTCTGATGCACCCGAAACGAACAGAACATACAAACAAATAACCGATAAAATAAAATTGTTAATCAGCAACCGCACTTACGACATTCATTATTAGAAAATACAAGGAAAAAAAAAAATAACACAAAACGATAAGATTAATTAGAAAAAACCAATTTAAAGCATTCAAACATTAATAGATAAATGATTTTAAATAAATGTTTCAAGTTGTATTTTTTGTTTTTAAATGTTTGCGTTATTAAAAACGGCATTTGGGGACATTGAAGAGGTTAGATAACATTTATTTAGAGAAAGTTTCGCAAGGGCTGCCAGAACATACAATTATTGTTCGCGATCATTACACTGAGACGCAGCATCTTTAGCGCACCATTTACATGAAATCCTACATTTACAATAAATATGGGAGCTATGTCAACATCATCTACATTAAAGCGAACTCGACGTATGCTTTGTTTCCTTCTGCGTGTTACATAGGAAGACACAATTACAATTATTTTCATTTACTTTATTATTTTTCCACTAATTCAATGCGTGCTGTAGTCATAATCAAGTGAATCCTCATAATATGGACTGGGATCGCACACTCTTACCCTTTTGGCTTCCATTACACGACTTTTACACTGCTTCCCGCAGACTCGATGGCGCCTACGATGACAACGGGAGGCAGTCGAAAACTTGTTCAGATTGCAATTTCTTGTCGGCCGCAAAACTATGCAGCACGGATCCGTATTATTATAGCCCAAGCCGAATTGTGCCCCCACTCTCGAAAACGTCACGCTCTGGTTTAAATGTACAGCATTATCGTTGTTGTACGTTATATTGCCACCTTTATTCTCGATTATATTGTGTATTTGATTAGTCAGCCGAATAACGTTCGTCGTATTAATTGGTCTGGGCGGTGTCAATTGCGTATCGTTCACACCCTGCACCAGTTGTTCCCCTTTTATCAATTCCGGACAAATTGGACATCTCTGCAGGCACGTAGCAACATCTTCAACACCTTGACAAACCTGTTTGCATTTTTCACTATTTTCATGGCACTCTTGGTATTCCTTTAAGGTGGGTGGGTCATAATTTTCTAGTTGAGTCTGGATGACGATTGGATTGATGGGGATATTGTGTACAACGGTGTTGTTATTTGCATCCAAAATCAGTTTTTTGTCTTCAGCTGCAGTCGGCAACTGTCACTGCATGTAAAATAGATGCAACCGCCAACAGTTGGAGAAATGCCTAAATGCAATAACGCACTATAAGTTCGTGAGTCTCATCGCAAAAGAGAACACTAGAGGTGACATACCTGTAACTCCATCGAAAGCAAAATTGTTGATGTCTATAGCTCAGCTGGTGTTTTTCTACTAGGCAACTGGAACTGGAGAACTGGATTTTATAAAACAATTAATTTTTTTGTTGGAAAGCTTTCCGATAACACAATCAACTTTATCAAAAATATAGATTATTTACGAATTCGAAAACTATGCGTACCAAGGCAAGGTATTTGCAAGGGGTCGGTGGAGTGTATTGATCTATGAACAAAATAAAGGGAAGTTAATAGAGGGTTTCGGTTATTAAAGAGACGTAGTTGGATAACTTGAAACACTTACCTTTGCTATGATTATCTGGTAATATCCGCTACATATTCGAAGTTGTTTTTAATCTCATATTTACACTTTTTTACATATATTTTTAAACATTCCCATCTGAAAGACCAATTTAAGACACGACACTTCAAATACAATTTGTTGATTTAATGAAGTGTGCTTTATTTAGCACTTTTTCTGGTTGAAACCCACACTAACTGAAGAAAACTTTTAAGAAGGAAACACGGATGTATCTTTAGAAGCTTTTGTAGTAAACCGAATATGAACAAACAAACACAAAGGCAAAAACAACTAATACTCATTAACCGGCAAACGGATGGCAAATCGAAAGGCACAGAAACTTCTTTGCAAAGGAGCCATATTTATTTATTAAAAGCTTTTTGTAGTCAAACACACACACACAAATTTCATCGATCGAACAGAACAAAGCATAGCAGATACCTACACACATACTAACACAATCTAATAAACAAACATATTTGGAAAAGACAGACAAAGGAATATTGCAGAATATTTTCAGTGCGATATGATCGAATTTTAAAACACTTTTTTGTTTTATATTCAACTTTTTCTTTTGATTTCAAACACACATTTTGTTATTGTCTTCCAAATTTTTCAATTATTTCTAATACAATATTATTATTTTCACAATTTACTGATTTTTTTTTTTTTTTTTTTTTTTGCAAAAAAATTAACCGATCACTACAACGGACGTCTTCACTGTACGAACACGACGAAAGAACTAAACGAGTGGGCAGCTTTTGAACTAATTCTTACTGGTATGGGCAATAAGAGCAACTTAACGAAAGGAAGTTTAAACGAAGGTATTGCAGAGTAGCTATGAGGGAAACGCATGGTGTAATTTGTTAACCTTACTCGCATACTGTTACCAATCAAATAAATCGTACAAAATTATCACATTTTGATGAATATTGCTGTGATTATTACATACACCAAATATATGCCAAATTACTCAGATTCCCGAGTAAACCAATTACATAATGGATTTTTGGACCTTCCTGATTATTGTTGGATAGTTTGAAGTTTAGTACACACTATAAGTTGGGAATAACAGTTTTTCAATAAACTCCTAGTCTACACACTATCACTTTTGAATGACAGTTTGGCTCAAATTATTGGTTATTGAAGAGTCAGTAATCGATAAAAAGCTAACAGTAATAAATGATAGTGGGTACTCGCCTTATTACTTTACGGGAATGTCTAAAAGCAAAATTTTAATCGTTCTTGGTTTCTGATCTCAAGAAGTTCTAAATTAATATATTCAACAATTTTCGAATACAATCATTTATTTTCCTATGCAATATTTTTTACCCCATCACGTGGTTCAATTAAGCGTGGAAACCAATTAACCATAGGCTAAATTAACCGAAAAATACTGTATCTCATTTTGTGATCTCGCAGTTTCGTTTATAAAAAACTTAAATTTGTACATCGGTTTTTCGCTTAGTTGCTTTTGGGCATAAGCAAGGGGCATTTAGCAAGAGGTGGAGAGAGAATTTTTGAAGATTATCGCCGTTTAACTCCGCTGTAATCATTGTCTTCGCATCAAATCAGTTTGTGCCGGTCTGCCACGAGGCTAAGAATAATATCATTGTACATGAAAAAGTCCAAAATTAAAGCGATTGAAAAGAAACAAATCAATGATATTTGTGCCCGAAACCTTCATCCCGTACATGATTAGTGCTTATAGCTCGGCTCTTAATATTTCTGTTGAGTCGGCATTCACCTAACCTATAAATACTGTTTTCCGCCTGACAGCGAAGTGTTACGAGACCTGGTGAGAGAATTGAAGTGTAATCAAAAGCAGCAAAAGGTAACAAAATATAAGACCTAATTTAAAGTAAAGTGAATATTGCGATCAACCCTGGTATAAATAGTGCTACATTCATAGTTACTTTGTAAAATCATTGTTGTAACAAAAAAAAGTTAACACTAATTTTGGCTAGTTATAGCGTTTAAGTACGAATATTTACTTTTAATTATTTCTTTCGAGTGTATTTTTTACAATATTTCAACAATTCCTATGTACATAAAGTGTCAGTTAATTCCCGTTTGGTAAAGAACATCAACCAACTATACAGTGTTAAATAAATATACTTTCATTCGGATTTTGTACTCTTAATGACCGTTAGCGGTCGGTTTAGGTAGAAGCTACTGTTATATGTTACATTCGGTTGATGTTTTACGCCAATGTTAATTAACATGACCTATGCTAACATCATGTTATGTATCTCGATCTTAGCAACATTTTACCTTATAAAGCAGGCATGCTTACCCATATACGCTACCGTAACTGAGGGTCGATGGGTAAACACATTTTCTCTTTCTTTCTCTTTACGTCAGTCGTTTTTAATGGTGAATTCTCAGTTACGCTCGCACACCTTGCTCTCAATTTAATTTTGCCAAACACTGCTTATAAAGCAGTTACGGTAGCGTATATGGGTAAACATGCCTGTTATAAAGCAACCAACATATCAAGTCTCCACATCTCTCTCACAGTGATCAAATATTTTTGGAGCATACCGTGATATTGGAGAGTGTACATTTCTTTTATTGTGCATTACTGTTTACCTTGTTGCTGCAGCTCGGCCAACGAGAAGTATACTTTCGTCGATGGAGGAGAAACCAAAACAAAAAGTAAGTCATTAATTTTTCTCCGTTCTTGTTTTTTTTTATTTTTTGGTGTAACAAAAGAGTAAACTGTTTTGTAATTGAAATGATTATCGGCGAAATCATATGAAGTTTTATTATTAAAATATTGGCTGCTTCTTTTGTTTATGTTGATTAGATGGTGATACAGATAATCTCTTTGTTTCACAACAACATCAAGTAAAGCTAAAATACCTTTCCTTACACTTCAACATCAGTAAAGTTGGAGTCGATGAAGATTTGTAGAATTCCCACCTAAAATAGGAGAGATTGTTGTTAAAACATTTTTTGCTTTGAATTTAACTTTAGTAATAATACTCGAAAGATATCTTTAGGTTAAGATTTTAAAATTACCATGGATCTACATTGTACATTTGTTTATTTACATTTAACTTAGTTTTATACAACAGTCAAGTTTTAAATTAATTTAAAATTCATTTTGTCTGTAAGAGCAAATATCGATGATACCAATGGATTTTTAGTCAATAAATATAACATGCCTTCTGAATAGATCTAAAATCAAATCTGTTTAACTACTCTCGAATGTAAGAGAATGGTTGCTATGTTATTAATGAATGGGTTGCAATGAAAAATATTCTTCGACAGGTTGCAACCATGGTTGGGTGGGTGCTGGCAACACAATATCTTGCTGCTGAACAACATTCTGCATGACTACTTCCTTTTCTCATCTGTATATTTCTTAAAACTGTTCCTCTCATTTCCACTTCCTTCTGCAAACTCTCCTGCCTGTTTCTTTACTAGAAAAAATCTGAAAATGCACGTATTTTTTATATTTATTAGCAGAGTGGTATGAGAACAATGAAGCCCTCCGTCGAGCGATAAGGCTGGTTTTCTTACGTGCATTTCCTTCATTTGAGTATGAAAGCTTGGTTAAAGTTGTGAAAACTGCGGTTCCAATCGGATAATCCATTCGCATGGTATTATAAAATTCATTTTCAGCAAAACTTTTGTGAAATGGGATTGGTCCAAAGAAACCATCATTAGCCATAAGGCTGAGGATATATAAATGTCATTCAAAACAATGCATTTCTCATTGCTGCATTTGAAAATGTTTTTAATGTTTTCTGTATTTTTACCAAAACAATACGTACACATTTAAAATTGAATAATTAATTGACTAGATAGAGACTGGTTTAATCGAAGATTTATTTTCCATTATCATTTCAGTATAAGCAATTTATTAGATGAAGGCATGCACGTGTCTGTTGTTATTGTTTTTTTATTTTTCATTAAATTCAAAAAATACCACCGACGAACTTAGGAGCACCAATCATCAAGGCAACCGTCGGCTGGCATGCAACCAAATGAACCAGGATAATTTAGGCAATATGTCTGTTGATCGTAAAAACCACATCTATTTGTGGGGCAATTGTAACGGTAACAATAACTGGAACATCCTTGTCCAATCCCAAGTCCACACCGTGAGCAATCGAATCCACCTGCGTAAAACAAAATACACACGTAGACACACTGGTATAGGCTCGGTATTTAAATATATGACAAACCTGTTGTGGGACCACATAGGCCAAGGGGACTGCCGCAGCTCGGTTGTAGGGGTGGTATAACTGCAACATTCGGTCTGGAATACACTCGGGGAGGTTTCAAATAGATTATGCTCGCGGTGCAAAAGTCTCCACATCTTTGGCTTTTACCGGTATGATAGCAGTACCAACGGTCATTGCGATGTTCACATGTTCGTGGAGTCACAACAGTGCAACAGCGTGGAGGTGACGCTGTTGTAGTCGTATCAGCAATTGTCTCATCTCTGTAATCCACAGACTCACTTAACATAGTTTCATTGATTGTCACCGGAGCATTAATATTGAAGTTGTTGACATGACTGAGATTTATATTCGGTTGTGAGTGGTCAGATTTGGTTGTAATCGTGTTGTTTATGTTAATAGTGTGCCTAATGGGTTCCGGCAGGGAACACTTGTTGCCAGTCCATACTGAGCCCTCAGGACACTTAACCTGAATACATTGATCGCCAGACATGACAGTTCCATAGGGACAGTACAGCAGTTGACAGTAGCCACCTAAATCGTTCCTTTGGGGCACTTATATTTCGGGAGGTGGTAATGTTGGTACTGGAGGCGGGGTTTCTGTAGTTGATGTTGAATTGGATTCGGTGGATTCGTTGGAGGCGTGAGACAGTTATTGCATTGAGTAGTTGCGCATGGATTGCAAGTTGTTGGGCAGGAATTACCGCAACAGTTACTTGTTTGACATGGAACCTGGTTCTGGCAAGAATTCTGACAACATGCAGATGAAGGAATCTGGCAATTATTTGTGCAAGAATTCTGACAACATGCAGATGAAGGAATCTGGCAATTATTTGTGCAACACGGAGCATTGTTTTGATTCGAATTGGGAAAGACCTGTCCCTTAGGTTCACAACAATTTAGGCAATTTACACCGCTACATTCACGTACGCAACTTTCTAGGCAACATTGTTCTCCAATCAAATAATAACCTTGAAATGCAAAGAAAGATTAAAACTGAAAATGATTTGGTCTGGACCAATTAATTGCATGTCGCTGGAAATCACATCGTATTGGAGAGGTTTCAATTGTTTACAATTAGTTTGTGTAAATTTCATAATCAATCAATTCCCTCCACTTACCCTCGCGACAATTTCCTCTAGTAATATCAAAACACGCCCCATTAAATAGAATCGACATTCCGGGGCATTGTTAGTGTTAACAATTAGATACAAATCCTTCACTTACCACCAATTGAAGTATCAGGCAGCTAACTAGCAAGGAGAAAACGAATATTCTCGGCAAAATGGCATTCATTCCGAAAATATTGTTCATATATTTTACGAAGTGTGGGTTGGTGGCGCAAACTGATGAGACTGATCAAAGACTTGAAAAATGTTCAAATTAAATGTTACTTTTATTCGATCTTTCAGTGAGTGTGTATAAACAATGTATTTAGAAATTATCACATATGAACCTGACCTCGCACCTTTTCGTGTTTATATGACTTATACAGGATTTGACGCTCAGACTCATCTTAGTCGAAATTTAGAATGTTATTCGCTCTTTTGGAACATACAGTATCGGCCAAAATTTAATCACCCCCTTAGTACATTTTTTAAATGATTTTTATGAAAGCAATGCTATACAATCTGTTTTCATTTTTCTTATTATTTAATTATATATCTTTTATTGAAAAATAAAACATATAGAATTGAGAATTAAAAACAACATTTTTAAAATTCAAAAAATATTTTAATGTACAGAAAAAATTGTTAAAATCAATATTCAGTTGCGTATCCTTTATTCTGGAGGACACTCGCACATACCTTAGGCATAGATAATATTCAATTTTTAATTGTTTCAAGCTATATTGCTGCACAGGCTATTCACCGGCTGATTCTTGAGTTAATGATCTCCAACAAATTGTGAATTGGTTGGGCCAAGGGAGAACGTCGATCCACGTAGTAAATTTGACTTGCATGGCCACCACTGTATATTTTATAAATTGTATATTTAGAAATTATTATCACATATGAACATGACCTTGGATCTTTTTGTGTTTCTTAGACCTATGCAAGATTCGAGGCTTATCAATTGAGAGAGTATGTTAATGATTCCCATTGACAGACAAATATTAGTCAGAATTCTGAATTGTAACATCACGGACTAGAATGTTAGCGCTCCATAAAATAAATGCGATTTCAGCGGTGTTGGCTCTTGCGGCTTTTGCCATTGGTGTGTGTGCCGAAGATTCAATTTCAGTATGTGCCAGGATCAAAATTACTTAAATAAATCAATACTGTACCTTCATAATTTTTTGTCCCGTTTTCAATACCAGCCGGTTTGTAATATCGAGTGTCCGCACGGATATGCTGCAACACAGATCGACGACATGTGCTCGTGTGCTCCAATAGAAGCAGACCGCATATACTGTCCAGAAGGTTCGGTCTTGCTAGATAATAAGTGCCACAAAATTATTTGTCCAAACGGCGAATTGTACAAGGGCATCTGTCTGCAAGCCATTTGTCCCCCCGGGACAGTATGGCGGGGTAAGAGGTGTCAAGAACCAGAAAATATAACCACAATTCTGGAAATAGAAAATGTTGTGACTAATGAGGTGCTAAGGAGCCCCGTGTATCTTGAAGTTAATAGTCAGTATAAACAGATTTTAAACGGAACGTCGTATGTCGATAGGGACAACAGCAAAAATATTGGAACAAGTCTCCCTGCCCAGGATATAAGCATTAGTTCCAAAAACTCCGGGGACTATAGCTTGCCTAATACCAACGAAATAAGTGCAGTACTGAAGGAATCTGAAAAACTAATAAAGCCACTGGTTCTCAATGATGACACCAAGCCCACAAATTTACTTGTAAATAGTCGTGAAAAGGAGGCTGACGATCAATCATCGAAATCTGTAGGTTGTTGTAATGTGAGAATATCGCGTATTTGCAATCTTTATGGCAAAAAGTGGATTTGTTTTAATCGTAATCAACATTTATCTGATGCCAGAGTGTGCAGTGCTCCCACTGTATATTTGAGGCCTCCGGAAATTAAATACAAACACTCGACTTTAATTATGCCGCCGCCGACAACATTATCGCAACAAGGTGCACCAAGTCAATTGTTTACTTTCAGTTACAAATAATGATCCAGCGGACTGTTCTGGTTGTCCGCTCAATCAACCAGAAAACTGCTCCGCTTACTGCTCCCGGTATATGTGTCCAAAAAATGCATGCAATTACATGAATTTAGAGGAATATTGTCACTATTATCCCGGAAAATTTGGATGACTACCAGGCGATGGCTGTTTATGGAGCTGGTGCGAATAGCTGCTGTCGTGTCAAATGAATGTAAAATGCTAAAAACATTATAATATTCAGCTTTTTCGAAAAATTGTCCATTAAACATATGTAACATGAAAATCTCTACTGAGTACTTTGTTCCCGTAAGAAGTTGAAATGCCTTAGCTTAGCTCTCTTCTGCTGCAGTGGTAAACGATTAGAAAGGGAACTAAAAATAGTAAACACTTCGATATAAATATATCAAAATCAAAAATTGCATGTCTTGATGAAAACAAACAGACAACACAAACCTGAATCAGATGCCTAAAATAAAAAGATTAAAACAGTTACTGCCTGTACATAGTCTTAAAGTACGTTTACATTGTACCGGATTTGTTTAACCTAGTGGGTTCAAATTGTCAATTCCTTTACATATATGCCAAATAAATCCTCATAAAGTCGGTTAACCCGGTAAAAAGTTCTAATGTAAACGCCGTATTAATTTGCATATCACACCATTTTTTTCTCACATCTTGCAAGCATGATTAATCGCCTAAGTAAATATAATTCCAATCGTTTCCTTGTTACATTCAAGCCTAATGCGGCGCTATGGTGGGGTTCCATGCTAGCTCAGTTTGGGAACATTTGTTTGTCAGGAGGAATTCTCAACCCTTGCCACCATCAACCCTAGGGAATGCACAAATTGAAATCTGGATCATATCACAAACAAACAACACAAAAACATAAACACCATACATCCATGACACAGGAACTTGATATTAACGTTCCCCCACTACGCCCGCCCTTCCTTGACCCTTTTGTCCAAATTTCAAATGATTTTTTTTAAAGGGCCCCTAAAGCCACACACACTTACCTCATTATAACATACACCTAATTTCCTCTCTCACAAACAGAATCTAACACCACATATTATCAAATATAAAACATATAAAAATTTATTGACATAGTCATTTCATCACTTCACCTAACATAACATTAAACTTTGGGACTATTAATACCCGCCAAATTAATCTGTGAGTCAATGCTTAGATTACCCTTTTTTCTACTAGATTTTTGCCAATTCCGGCCAATAATTTACTCTAAATTCTTCTGCCTAAAAGAGCTCTCTTAGTAGAACAAATCGGACATTTTCATTTTTGTCCACACAAAAACCAAAAAACACTAGTTGATCTTGGAGGTAACCCTACACTCACCTATCAAACACAATTAGGTATTAGTAATCCTCACAATTTTATACTTATTCACTATTTAACTAAATACGGACAACACAATTTAACTTAAATACTAAACACAAAATTTTGGGATTCTTTTTCAATTTTGGTCAATCCATATATCAATTATTTTTAATTTCTTTTATGTTGATCTGTTTTTAGTATCAACACATTTTCAATTTCAATCATTTAATATTGATTTGTTCTCATTTTTTTCTTTGCAGGTTAATGGAGGCTTCTTTTATCCTCAATTAAATGGCGTACAGACGCATTTCAGAAACAGGCACAGCACGGTAAGAAATATATGATCTGTTACCTGGAATTTTCTTATTTCATTTCAAGATTTTTTTATTCAATTTTTCGTTTCAGGACAATGCCTCCAACAATCAAAAGTGTATGTGCAACACTTGGACGTCAACACAAGATAACAGCCTGCAACACACCGGCAAAATACATCAGGATAATTTGGCCTCTTTTACAGAGCACAGTGCCCGTTGGGCCGAATGAATTATATTTTTGTTATCGTCCACTCAAAAGCAAATAAAAATGACTTTAATATCGCCAATATAAATTCAATATTTTGTCTTTTTTATTAATCTTTTTGGTAATGAGATTTTTTCTTTCATGTACTCTTCACAAGGATTGACTACTGATCTCCTCTTAATGTCTTCTTCACAAAGGTTAACTATCTGATCTCCTTTTTTATGTCTTCTTCACAAAGGTTAACTCTCTGATCTCCCCTGATTTTCCTTCTTCACCCCCTTATATAGGCTCGAAAAAAAACCCCAGCCAAAGGTTTCCATCTTTTTTTCTAATTTTCCCACAATTTTCTTATATTTATTTATTTTCCTTTAACGGCTGTTCTACTAAACCTGCCGATAGCGACAAGGTTGTATTTGACTCACGTCAATCTCGCAGAGTCACTGTTTTTGGATCAAACCTGGCCTTGGCATCACTTTTTAATTTCGTTCATTGGTCGCCCTGCATATCCGGTT